CCCTTGTAGGCCTTGCCCACCCAGGAGCCCAGGGGTGACTGGAAGTCCCTGATCTCTGAGGGCTTCCTGGCTACTTTGCCCCAGGGGAGGAACCAGCTGCCCATCACCCATGCAGTCACTTCTGATGTTCTCTCCCGGGTCTCTCCTGGGTTCCACAGAGCAGTACTTAGCCGTCTCCAGCTTCACCCTTCACTTAGTCCCCAGCCCCCGTCCCCCGTTTCCCGGTGTGTGATGGCTCAGGCTCTGGCCTCAGTTCTCACTGTCCTCTTCTCCAGGGACTTCCTTCTGTTTATGCTTGAGCACTTGCCTCCTGGTGAGCTGTGTGTTGTACTTTGTGTTCTCTGTTCCTTATAGTCTTTTGGTTTTATTTGGTGATTTATTTTCCCCTCCCTCATTTTCAGTTTAGAACTAGCCCGTTTAAGTGGTTGATCCTGCGTGGTCCCAGCGGACCTGAGTCTGGGTCTCCTGTGTGCAGGGGTCATGGCTCATGGCTCCCAGCCCCCCACTGTTGCCCTCCTCCCCAGCCACTGCAGCCACAGCCACGGGGACCCGACCCCTCTCTTAGAGGCTGGGCATTTGCAGGAGGAGCTCCCTCTTTCGTCCCCGAACACATACACCTGCCCAGGACTGGGCCTCCTGGAGTTCTGGCACAGGACAGAGAGCCCTGGGAGGGCCTTGGGCCCAGGAACAAGAGAGGGAGAGGCGAGAGGAGAAGAGGGCCCAGGTGGACCCTGGGGTCCTGTGTTAGAGGCTGGGGTGAGAACGAGAGGCTAAGACAAGTGGCCGGGGCAGTGGGTGCCTCCTGGGAGATGATCCTAGAAGTCAGGTCTGACAGGGTGGGTCTCTGGCTCAGACCCTTCCCCACCTCTGGCCCTCACGGTGCAGGGCACGCTCTCCGGCCTGTGCCAGCCACCGAGCCAGCCTGTTCGCTGCTCTGCCATCCCACACCCAGGAGCTCCTGCCACCTCACCTGCCTCTGGGTCTTCACTGAAGTCCTTCCCGCCCCCTGGGCCAGCTTCCCACCTGTCTGTCTTTCAAGGCTTGCTTTTGCCTTTCTCTGAGTCTGAAAGCCGCCCCCTCCCCCCGACCTTATTTGGAAAGAAGTTCACCCTCTGGTAGCAAGTGGTTTTTTCCCCTCACTAGCACACTCTCTCCTCACCTTGCTAGTACCTGCAGCCAAGCCCTCTCCTGTGCTTTTACAACCCCTGGGATGGGGCCCACCTGATAAGTGATTCTGGAGGTAAATTGTAATCAGTCATCAGGCAGGGCCTACTGTTGTCTAGCTTAAATTCCTTTTGCTGCTGCCCAAGTTCTTTTCCTTCAGTTGACTGTTGGTAGGGGGTAGGGGAAAAGAAAGCAACAGGGACTCCCCAATGTACCCTTACGTCTCCCTTGATCCAAACTGGAGCTCATTTAATTCTTCACTAGGGTGTGCCAAGCACCCCCTGCAGGCTCAGCCCTTCACTGGGCTCCCCTGAGGACTTTGTGAAACAGCAAGCACGGTCCCCACCTGCCCCTAAAGGCCACTGCCCATCATGGTGGGGATGGTCTCAGCTGCGATGGGTCCAGGGTACTTCTTTTGTTTTTTTTTTTTAATTCTTCACTACAGAATTCAACTCAAGTCCATGAGTTGTCTTTCTTTCTTTTTTTTTTTAATTTAATTTATTTATTTTTAGAGAGGGAAGGGAGGGAGAAAGAGAGAGAGAGAGAAATCAATGTGTGGTTGCTAGGGGCCATGGCCTGCAACCCAGGCATGTGCCCTGACTGGGAATCGAACCTGCGACACTTTGGTTCACAGCCCACGCTCAATGTACTGAGCTATGCCAGCCAGGTGGATCCAGGGTACTTCAAAACATGTTCCCAGAGGTAGACTCTGGCATGGGAGCAGCAAACCTATGGGGTTTCCTGGACGAGGAGGCTTTGGCATCAGCTGACTGGACTTGAAGCATCTTAATAACCTTGAATGGAGCTTCTCTTCTAAGCCTGAGTTTCTTCATCTATAAAAATAGGGACAGTGATGCCTCTCTCTCAGGTTTTGTCAATATAAACTGAAGAAGTGCCTGTAACACACCTGACACATAGTAGATGCTTAATAAAAGTGAATCCTTTTTCTTGACCTCACCTCAGCACTGACAGCCTGGGTTGCCCTACCATTTCCCCGCTGTGTGCCCTTGGGCAAGTTACTTAACTGCTCTGTGCCTCACTTTCCTCATCTGTAAAATGGGGCTAGTGACTGTCCATGCCACAGAGTGCTGATCGGAGGCTGTATGACTCGATATGAGGAAAGTGCTCAGGACAGTGGCTGCTCTGCTCTGAGCCTTCTGTGCATCTCCCACTCTTACACATCCCAGCCTCCTCCACGAGGCATCTGAGGTTGTTGCCGCAGACGTGGGTCAGGAGAAAAGGAGATTTGGAAGCAGCCAGAAGGTGGAGTCTCTGCCCCTGCCCAGGTGTCTGCAGGTGTGGGGAGGTCAAGGTTCTCTCCTATCCAAGGGAGAAGCCCCTCGACGAGGCCTGTGGGTCTTGGTGGTGGTGGTAGAGGGCTCTCTGGCCCCCAGGCCCACACTTGTGCTGAGCCCCTGACTGCAAATCCCTTGTCCCTCCAGGACACGAGCCCCTAGTGAGGGCCTCTGAGTTCACACCTGCAGGGCTGACACATCAGTCCTACCCAGGGCAGAACTTCAGAGGGAAGAGTCTGGGGGGCCTAGGACTCGGGTGTCCCGCAGAAGAGTGGCAGTGTTCCTTGGTCAACGCCCATCATACAGGCCTGCAGGCTGCACAGCCCACAAAAGTGTGCTGAAAGTGTATCACAGCCTTGGCGCCACCATTAGACCTCTCCCTGTCATCCGCCTCCCAACGCCACCAGGGAGCAGTGTGGGCCCCACCCCTGTGCTCCCTGACACATAACTAAGACCATAAAGAATCAAACCGCAGGCGTCACTGGCAGCCTCCATCCTGGGGAGAGGCCGAGGGAGCCGGGCTCGGGAAAGTAAGCCACTTTTCTCCAGAAGCCCTCCCTCGGCTGCTGCTCAGCCTCCAGGACCCAGACAAGTGTGGGCCTCCGGGCGTAGCAGGGGCACCGGGGGCCTCTCGGAATCAGAATGGAAAGTCACGTTTGAGGTCAAGTTACGCTGGTGGACTCACCGCCCTGGTGACCCAGGCCTCGCCTCCTGTCACTGACTTTTTGCCTCTGTGAATTTTCTGCTGGACCGGCCTTAGGCATTGCCCACTTGTATTCAGAATCAGATACCCCTTCGTTTGTCCCATGTCACCTCTGCAGCCTGGATTCAATCCCCTTGTCCAGCCATTCCCTAGCACACAAGCTTCACTGCAGACCCCCAGACCAGCTGCCCAGGCTGACCACCCACCAGGTGCCACCCTGGTTGGGGCTGGGGGCTGACCAGAGAACACCAGGGCTGCAGGCAAGCGGGCAGGTAAATCCAGCCCCCTTGCTCACCTTTCCTCTGTCCTTGCTTTCCTGGCCAAACCTCTAGGCACCTCACCAGCATGACTCAGAGGGCTCTGAATGGCCCCTGGGCTCCCAGCCATTCCTTCTCCAGTCCATCCTCTGTCCAATGGTGACCCGATGGTGCCCTGTGCTCGGGGGCTCCCCGTTGCTCACAGGGTGGACACCAACTGCCTCAGCACAGCCAGCCAGGTGGGGCCCCCTGCCCTCCCCTGTGCCCTCCTGGTGAACCTGGCAGCCGCCCCTCCTGAGCTCGCTGTCCCCTCTCCTTGACGTCTTTCCCAACTCCATTCCCACTGGAGCTCCCTTGGCTCCTGAGACACATGTGAGGGGTCCCAAGTATTATCTTGCGTGTTTATGAGCCCTGGCAATAAAGGTCTCTGCTGAGGCCTATCCCAGTCACCCCACTCCCAGTGTCCACATGTGCATGTCATCCTCCAGCCCAAACCCATCACTTCAGTCTGACCCCATCCCTGCCCAGGTCTCTCCCATCCCACTGCTTTTCTGGGACACTGGGATTCAGCCCAGGCGCTCCCCTCCTGCAGGAATCCTCCCCTGTGCACTGTCCTGCCTCCTTGCCGCCTGCGGGCAAGCATCTGGAAACAAGGTTGAATCCATTCCTGCCAGCCACCTCATCAGTCCAACTCCTGTTCGCCTGGCCCAGGATGGCTCTGTGCATCCCCACCTGTCCCTCCCCTCTGTCACCTCGTGTGAATCTGTTTCTCTTACTGGCATCACCACCCTTTGGCATTGTGTTTTGTCTGCAGCACACCAGGAGGGCAGGGCTTTCTCTTGTTCATGAGTGTCCTTAGTGCCTGGAACAGAACACAGTGTGTTATATGAAGGAGTGGCCGCCAGGCGTTGCTTACCAAATGTGGTGGGCTGCCTGGCCTGTGCACCTGCTCTCCTCACATGGAGACAAGGGTGGGGTGCCTGTACTAAATGGAGGTCCCTGATCCCTTCTGGGGGGTCACTATGCCATGCTGCAGTGTCAGAGCCTGCCAGCCTGCCATTCCCCACCTGTCTGGCCTGACTTTGGCAACACAGGGTGCAGGGGATGATGAGCTTGGCTTCCCAGCATCCTGTGTTCTCTTTCAGACAAAGGCCCCGGTGAGGACCTGCGGCCCGAGGAGAGACCTGTGGAGGGTGAGGCGCTGTCCATATCCCGCATTTCACCCCACCACCCCATCTCTGCTGCCCTCCCCTGCCCCTCATCTCTCCTTGAACTGGTCAGCACCCCGTTGCGGGGTGGGAGTCCTGTGGGCTACCTGAGGTGGGAGGTTTGCAGACCTGTTTTCTAGAACCAGGAGGTACCTGGTCAGAGGTACAGAGCTCATTCTGGTAAGGGAAATTGCAAGACTGCCTTTTTTTGTTTGTATACACACTGTGTTTCTTTCCACAAAGATCTTAAGGGTGAGGACTGAGCCTGGTCTATCTGAGCAAGTAGAATTGAGGCTTGAAAGCGCAAAATTGGCTTCGTGTCCATCAGGCATGCCCATTCTCAGGAACACAGCTCATTCCCTTCCCGCTGAGAATGAGAGTAGGCCAGAAGGGTCATCGAGGTGAGGACAGACCTGTTTCATCTCAGGAGTCTCTGCCCCTGAAATGGAATGAGTGGGTGTCAGAGGGGAGATGGGTCACTCCCCCAAACCCAGCCTGGCAGGGAAACCAGGAAGTTTAACAAAAGCCCACTGCCACCTGGTGGCGGCATACTCAATTTGCAGGCTTAGCATTTCCTCACTAGTTAGGTGACTTGCTGAGCTGATCTGGAGTGCCACTTAACCTAGAAAGACCATGATCTTTCTTAGGCCACAAAACCTTTAAGATCTCCACTCAGCAATCCCTAGACCGGGTTTCACAAGGAATTTGAGCCCAGGAATCATGGGCCTGTCTCGGGGGTGCCATTTGTGAGGGAGGAGGTTACCTGCCACCACCATCCCAGCCTTCCCCATTCCAAGGTCCCTCCAAGGGTCATTTTGGTGCCAGCAGAGCTGGGACATGAGCTGAGGAGCACGGTGCTGCCGCCACTGGGGAGGCTCAACAGGCTGCTTCTTGCCTTTCAGACAGCCACGGTGATGTGATCCGGCCCCTGCGGAAGCAGGTGGAGCTGCTCTTCAACACAAGATACGGTGAGCAGGGGCCGGACAGGTCAGGGCATCCCGGCCCGCCCTTCAGCTGGCCTGTGTTCAGAGGGACATTATGCCCAGCCCCCCATCCCAGCTGTTCCCTGCAAAGGAACAAGGAGGGGGAGAGGAGGGAGGGACTGGGACCCACTGAGAGAGGGCAGGGGCCCCCAGGGAGACTGTGGCACTGCAGAGAACCCCACCCTCTGAAACACTACACCCAGCCTCCTCGGTCAACACGCTCATGCTCTCTCACATCTGCCTCTGCCTCCGCCTGGAGAGGCCATTCACTCCACTGTATGAACTGCCCACTGTCCTCAGGGGCACCCCCGTCCAGGGTTCTCAGAGGACTCATACATAGCAGGAACTTTCCTACCAGAAGGACCAGGAGAGAGGGTGCAGAAGCAGGGAGGAAGCTATTCTTTACCAAGTGCCTGTGGTTTGCCAGGCCCTGGCTAGGTGCTTCACACTTCTCTCACCCCATCCCACCGAATCCCTGTACCCTAATACTCGTTTACACAGGAGGAGAGTGAGGCCTGTGCGGGGACATGGCTTCCCTGAGGCCCCACAGCTAATGCGTGGCAGTGCCTAAGCTGGACCTCAGATCTGTCCTCTTCCCAAAGTGTGCCACACAGACTTTTGGGGTTCTTCACTTCTTTATGGTGGCAGGGGACCTCTGGAGGGCCTTTCTGGAAACTCAGGGTAGGACACCTGGTCCTGGGTGGAGCCAGCAATAGGTCTCGCCAGCTGCCGGCAGTTTCTCCTGCGCTGCCAGGCTGTGAGGGCATGGAGTGGGCATGAGTCTGGGATTCACGGACCTTGGCTCTGGGGCCCTGCGGCCTGAAATGAGTCCCATCCCCTCTGAGCTCCAGGCCTCTTCACTGAGCCTGGGTAGTGCTACTCACATCTCCAGAAGTTGGAGAAGGCTCAACTAAGTGCAGACTCTGAAAGGGCTCTGGCACCTGTGGCTGCCGCTCCCCCCTCCCCCTCGGCAGACGTGGGAGGTGGGAGCTGAGACTGGTGGCCCCACAGCTCTGGGTGGCCCTATAGCAGCGGTGTCTTCGCAGCCAAGGCCATCGGCATCTCGGAGCCCGTCAAGGTGCCCTACTCCAAGTTCCTGATGTACCCAGAGGAGCTGTTTGTGGTGGGGCTGCCTGAAGGCATCTCCCTCCGCAGGCCCAACTGCTTTGGGATTGCCAGGCTCCGGAAGATCCTGGAGGCCAGCAACAGCATCCAGTTTGTCATTAAGAGGTAAGGCCGGGGGCCGCACCAAAATCCCATCTGCCTCGGCAGGTTAGGGTGGGCTTTTCCTTGTTTGGTCTTTAAAGAGTGCAGTGTTAGTCAGGGTTCAGGCACAGCCGAGCAGGCACCAGGCCATCCAGGTCTGCCAGACCCAGGGCAGCCAGCCCGACGCCCTCCCTGGCTCCAGTGTGCCAGCACATGCTATGGGGCCGTGTGTGCCAGCTTGCTCTTCTGGGCCATTCTGAGTATCCTCTGGGCAGCCATGTTGGTGTCCTGGGCCAGCGGGCACCAGGACGCTGCTGAGGGCAATGCCCATTACCCCAGGGTTGGAAAAGATGGCTGTGGCATTTCTAGGTCCTTTTTGTTCCCTTCGGCATCTCAGTTTCATCAGCAAGGGCCCCGGGGAACTGTGTGCCCTGCTCAGTATAAAGTCCCTCTGGAGGAGGTGGGGACGGCTACTAATTTTTCAAAGGAGGGGGAGAACATGGGGTGACCTGTTTTGTGTTTCCTGCTTCTGTGTGTTACTGGCATGTCTTGTAAATTTAGGTTTGGTTTGGTTGAAAGTGGCAAGAAAAAGGAGACTCTTAAGGGTGTGATCCCTTTAGAGGAGTAGATGGTCCCCAAGTTGGGAAACTCATGGTACTGATCACTCCTGGAGTGGCAGGCTGGTGACGGGGCCTGGGACAGGGAGCTGCCCATGGAGCCTCGTTTGCGTCAGGAGAAGTTAGGGAAGGTGGTACTTGCAGGAGCTGAGAATAGTGGACACCTGGTTCCTTCCTTCAACAAATACACATTGAATACCAGCCACGTGTCATGCTGAATTACAATAGCAGAGGCCATCAAGTCCTGCCCTTTAGTTGGCCGATGTCGCTGAATAAAACAACAGTAGAATGTGAAGTAGAAGTAAGTGCTGTAATGCAGAGGAGGGTAAGGGGGAAGGAAGCGAGGCATGTGAGGATCTACTGGGAGAGCGTTCAGGCAGAGGGAACAGCAGGTACAAAGGCCCTGAGGCAGAGACACACTTGCATGTGCAAAGACTAGCGGGGCACAGTATGGCTGGTGCAGAGTGAGCAAGGGAAGAGTGGTGAGTGGTGAGGCCCAAAAGATAGCAGGAGCCAGATGACACAGGGTCTTGGGCTGGTTTAGAGTTTGGATTTTATTTCAAACTTAATGAGAACTCACTGGAAGTTTTTGAGGAGAGTAACATGATGTGGTCTATTTTTTATTTATAATTGTCCAGCTGTGGGGCAGAGGGAACCCTGGGGGTATGAGCAGGGGAAGGAGCAGAGACCAGCAAGGAGACCTTAATCTGGCACCAGGGGACAGAGCAGAGCTTGAAGTGGGTAAAGGTAGGGGGAATATGCAAGTTGTCAGATTCAGGAACTAGTTTGAAGAATTTGCGATGCATTAGATGTGGGTGTGAGAGGAGTAGAGGCCTGAACGACTCAAAGGTTGCAGGCTAAGCACCCGGGCTGGCGGGGACACCCTTTTCTGGGTCGGGGATGCTGGGGGTGGAGGCCACAGTCAAGAGTTGGGTCTGACATGTGTTAGGTTTGAGATGCATCAGGCTGTCCAGGGAGGGACAGCAGTGGGATGACGGGGTCCCAGTCCTGATGCTCAGTGGAGAGGTCAGGGTGGGGACAGAGCGTGGGGAGCTGTTGGCATTCAGGAAGCACGCAGCATGTGGGGACAGCCTGCCACACTCACCCCTCAAACCCAGAACCAAAGCACCTGGGCAGCTCGACGGTAGGAGCTCAGTCAACGGCAGACCTGTGTGGACTGGTCTTCCTCTCCCCTGCGCTCCCTTCGTTGGCAGCCCTGGCCCCTGGCAGCCACTGACCCATGGCCTGTCACCGTGTCACCTTTTCTCGTGTGTCATGTGGATGGAACCCCACAGGGTGCGGCCTTCCATGTCTGGTTTCTCTCGCTGAGGTTTTGAGACGGACCCACATGATTGCCTGGATGAGGAGTTCATTTCTTTAAAAATATGGCAGTTTTAAGAAGTGAATTTAACTAGTTCCAGTTTCTGACAGCCAAGTGAAGAAAGTGGTTCAAGGAGCAGAGCTATCGACCTTGCAGGTGGGGTGTGGGGCCGCAGACAAGTCGGGGTCATCGTCAGATGATTGGAGGACAGGGGTTGGGCATTTCAGTATCTTTATTTTCTTATTCCTCCTTTTCAAAATGAGCAAAAATACTATGGGGACTACTAAGTGAAAAATAACTACTTCTCGTTAATCTTACTTTTCAAAAGAATACATTCTGGAGGAGATATAACTGCTTTAGAATTAGATAGAAGTGTGGCTACATAAACAACCTGGTGCATACCCTACAAACCACTGGCTGGCATACTGTAAAAGTGAACTTTATGGTTCTGTGAAGTACATCGTATATATGTATGTACGTACATGGGGATATTAGTTTGCCGGGGCTGCCATAACAAAGTGCTACAGGCTGGATGGCTTAAACAACAAATTTATTTCTCTCAGTTCTGGAGGCTAGAAGTTCAAGATCAGGGTGTTGGCAGGTTTAGCTTCTCCTGAGGCTTCTCTCCTTGGCTCACACATGGCCGCCTCTTGCTGTGTCTTCAAATGGCCTTTTCTCTGTGCACAGGCACCCCTGGTATCTCTCTCGGCATGACCCTAATCTCTCGTAAGGATGCCAGTCAGGTGGATTAGGGCCCATCCTACTGTCCTCATTTCAATTTAATCAACTCTTTAAAGACTCTGTTTTCCAATACAGTCATGTTCTGAGATACTTGGGGTTAGGGCTTCAACATGAAATTTGGAGGAGTACAATTCAGCTTATAAAAATATGTATTTATATAACTGAGAAATTATCAGCTGCAAGACATCACTAATTGATTGACACTCTTTGCGTCTGAACCTGACCTCCACATCCTTCAAAACAATACTCCAGACAACCAGTGCCTGCTAATTAGAGCTGGTACAAAATCAAATTAAACTTTCTAAACCTTTGGTCAAAAAACATTAACCCAGATTCTTGAACTTATATGCAAAATTTTTGTATTCTTTTGTGCCTTTTTCTGGAGAGGGGGTTCTTTGCTTTCATCAGATTCTCCAAAGTTGAAAAACACTTAGGAAATTTAAAACCACAGGTGCATTCTGACAGGTGGGAGACTGATGCCCAGGGAAGTAGTTGTGGAAGGTTGTGTCTGCTTCAAGTGCTGTGGTTCACTTGTGACACTGAGCACCCGGAGGGAGCAGACCCCACAGGTTCAGGGCACAAACCCAGCAAGAACGCCCCCACTGCAGACATGAGCCCCAAGGACAAGGGGCCTGTAACGGATGCAAATGGGGACCAGCCAATTGGAGACACACAAAGGCTGAGGTCTGGGAGGGCACTGGACACAGAGCTTCCACGCCCTGTCCCGTGAACTCAGGGCACACGTCACTCCCAGCACACCGATTGGTTCGCCATGGGCATCCCCACCGAGCTTCCGTGTCCATGGTGCTCATCGGGAAGCATCAGCCAGACTTGATTGGGTCATTGGGCATGTGATTGAATCCGTTCTCCAGCCTCTCGTCTCCCTAGAAGCCAGGAGGTTGTGCTGATGTCAGCTGTCCCAAAGCCCAGTCCTGCAATCACACGGCTGCTCTTCCTACATCCTGAACCAACCCCGTATAAACATAAGTGTGATCCAGGAGGCTCACCATGAGTGACAGAGACACTCCTGTCATTGGGGAAATGTGGAAGATTTCTGGCTTCTCTCCCAGGAACCGGGGATAAAGATCAGACAGGCTCTGGCACAGCACTGACCCCAAATGCCCCATTTTCAGTGGAACCTTGTTCAGCTAAAGCGGGGCTGTCTGGGTGGGCCGGGGGTCTGGGGCCCGTGGCAGCCTGAGGGCACAAGGGAGGCCGGCTGGCCAGAGGAGGGCATGGTGGAGTGGGACAGGTAACAGAACTGCTCCTTCAGACCTCCCGAAGGGAAGGGTGCTGGACCAGGGTCTCCTATGAGGACATGTTTGTGCTGAGGCTGCCCATAAAGGGGACGAGCTCTCCACCACAGAGATGTCCAAGCAGCGACACAGATACCCTGCCTGGGAGCAAGGAGAAAGGCTAGACTTGGGGCACTCTGCCCCTCAGTCAGGCAGCCGGAGGATGAGGACTGGACGCCTGTCCTGGCAGCGGGATCTGGGCATAAGCTTGTTGCCCGACACGGGGCTGGGCGTCCAGGGCTGCAGAGGGTGCAGGCACAGCCCTGCCTTGGCCCATAGTCTGAGGAGCTGGAAAAGGCCTCAGGCTGCATTCAGAGCCCCCACCACCACCACTGCTCCCTCTTCCCCCTTCTGGGGAAACTGAGGCTCAGGCAGTGCAACCATGGCCCCACAGTCCTCTAGGAGTGGCAGGAGCTGAGCAGGACTCCTGGCTCCCAGGCCAAAGTACCTTCCGCAGCCCTGCGTCCTCTCCTCAAACTTGGATTTAAAGGTCTGCACCCCTCTCTTTGAGTCAGGACAGAAAACAGTGGTCTGGTGCGGGGGAAGGTGCCCCTCAGCTGGAGAGGCTGCGGGTGAGGACGAGAGGGGCCCCTAATTTGAACTCTGCCCCGTGAGCTGTGTGGTCTTGGGCATGTCCATCATCTCACCGATGCCTGAGTTTCCTCATCCTGAGAATGGGAAGATGGAGACAGTACCTACCTCAAGGACGCCGGCAGGTACCTCATGTCTGGGAAGGGCCTTGTGACATCTGTGTCGATGCAGACTTTAGGAGAGAGCTGGGCTGGTCCCCGAGCCCCCAACCCCAAAGTCCAATGGCAGCTCTCAGGTGTGAGCCAGAAACCTCGGGCTGTCCTCATGCCTCCAAGACTGTGGTGCCGCTCAGTCAGTCCCGAAGGCTTCCACACTTAAAACCAGCTCCATGGGGAGCCCCCCAGACCACAGGCTCTGACGGTGGACAGCAGCAGTCACACTGTGTCCTGGAACTGAGAGTGAGGGTGTCGGCCCCACCAGGCCAGGACCAGGCTGGTCTCACTCCCAGCTGAATCTTCAGAGTCCAGCGCAGCCCCCCACCCCCTGATCTCACATGTGGGTCAGCAGGGCAGCTGTGGGGGTGGGGCGAGGACCCCAGACTTGGACTGTCCAGAGGCAGAGGACCCATTGCACAGATGCATAGACTGAGGCCCCGGGGGAAGGGCTGTGCAGTATGAGAAGGTTTGGAGGGACCCTGGTGATAGCCTCACTTGTATTTTCCAGGCCTGAGCTGCTCACTGAAGGAGTCAAAGAGCCCATCACGGACAGCCAAGGTACCCTGGGGCTGGGTGTGGGAGGGGTCTCAGGCCTCTGCCACCTCCCCTCCTTCTGCTTCCTCTGTCCTCCCCTGGCATTCCCCCACTGCCCTCTGCATCCAGTTCACCCCCACGTTTGTCCCTGGGTCTCAGGAGCTAGCCCCCTGCTCATCCTGGCTTCTCTCCCCCCACCCCTAGATAGGGATTCCGGGGACCCTTTTGTGGACGAGAGCCTGAAGAGACAGGGCTTTCAAGGTAAGGTTGCAGCTCAGGATGGAGTCGACAGTCCCAGCGCCACAGCCTTGACCTGGCCAGGCTGGGTGGGGCTGCCCACAACCCCAGGGCCTGGGGGACTGGGTGAGGTGGGTTAGCAGCGGGGACAGGGCTGTATTCTGCCAGCTCCAAGAGGCTCCACAGGGGCTGTGGGGGTTGGGGTGGGGGGGTTCCACAGAGTACAGGAGCCACCCGCTGTCCACGCGGGGAGTCAGCTGACCTGCCTGCCCACTGGACACTAGGCAGTCAGCCTCACTCTTGCTGCTGTCAAAGCAGAGGCATGCACAGAGGCAAGCAGGGCTCTGGAGGAGGGGAACTGCAGGGGGGCGAGATGGGATTGGAGGAAGTGAGTGTGCAGGGAGAGAAGGGGGAGAGCTTGAGTGAAGGCATGGAGTGTGGGCCATAGCTGAGAAACAGAAGCAGGCCAGGGCAGGCTCTGAGGGGGCGGCCCCCCTCCCATCGGTGCAGGTGCGGTGTTGCTTCTCAGCTTCCTGGTTGGGATTCAGTGTAGCCTCAGTGAGGGGGTGGGGAGCAACAGCCCAGGTGCCTGTAGGGGCAGCCCTGGGTGTGGCTGTGTGTGAGTGGGCATTTCCTAGGTGTCCCTGGGCGGCCACTGTGGCTGTGAGGAGAAAATGGGTCAGGGAGACCCATGGCAGGAAGGGGGTGGGGAAGCCCCGAGAGAGAGGACCCAGACCCCAGAGGGGCGGCTGCTCACTGTCAAGTCTCACCCTCCATCCCAGGCAGCTGGGACTTCCTGTGATGAGGGGGGTTGAGTCTCTCGCCACACCCCAAGGTGCCTCCTGCCCAGTCCTTTGACGTGACTGGGGTCCTCAGCACCCCCTACCCAACCACCCTGAGATCCACTGCCTCGCCTCTCTCTTCCCACAAGGCAGTGCCAGGCTGTAATCTCCCTGGGTGCAGGGGCCCATCTGGGGTCCCCCTGGCACATGCGGCATACGGGCTCCTTAACCAATACCCTCCCGGTGGGGGAGTGACCCCTGGGAGCTGCTCCACCTCTCCGGGGCTGCCCAGCCATCTGATCCCCTGCCTGCCCTGCTCCAAGCCCACCATGCTCAGGAACCGGTCCTCTTCATGGTGTCTGTCACCTCCAGGGCTTATTGATCGCTGTGGTGGTGGTTTTCAAATGTCAACAATTAACTTAATTTCCAACTCACTGTTGTTGCAACAGCGTGCGTCCTTCCAGAAAAACACATCTCTGTCAAGACATTCGCGCTGAAGGACCTGAGGGGCCCACTCCAAGGGTCTGATAATTGCCAGAGAAGGAGGTCCCCATAATTAGAAAATCATATTCCTTAAAATTCACTAAGTGCCTTTTAATTTAACAGCCCAAATCCATAATTGTTTTTCACTTTGCAGAGAATTATGACACCAGACTCTCCCGGATCGACATCGCCAACACCATCCCCTGAGGGAGCAAGTGCAGGATCTGTTCAATAAGAAATACGGTGAGGCCCGGGCGCCTGGGTGAGGGAAGCCAGCAGGGTTGGAAGTGAGGCAGGAGCTTCCCAGGGTCACCTCTGGGAAACCCTTTCACCCACGGACAGATCTCTCTGGAGCACTGACCATGTGCCAGGCACTGGAGACACAACAGTGCAGAAAACACGCAGTCCCTGCCCTCCTGGGCCCCCATAGCTCAGTGAGGAGAGACACATTCAGCACCGATACACAGACTCTAATAACAGTGAGGAACTGTTCCACCATCATGCAGGAGAAGAGCAGGCTACTCAGGAGAGAATAACTTGGATGCTTACCCTAAATCGGGGGGCAGGGGCAGGCCTCTTTTAAAAAAGAGAGCTAAAGGGTAGTGAAGGAATTAATTGAGCAGACTGTGAAGGAAGGACATTGTGGCTGAGGTAATGGGCATGTGCAAAGGCCCTGAGGCTTTTCCTAAGACAGGGAGGAAGCTGAAGTGTGCAGGTTGGGGGAGGAAGGACCCCATGGAGCTGGCCAGGAAACAGAGCTGATCATCCATGGTTTCAGCCTTATATCTGGTTGGGAAAGGGGAAATGACTGGAGCCACTTTGTACTTTAGAATATGTTCCCGGATGGGGCTCTGGCTGGTGTGGCTCAGTGGATTGAGCATCAGCCTGCAAATCAAGAGGTCACTGGTTCAATACCCGGTTGGGGCGCATGCGGGGGTTGCGGGCCAGGTCCCCAGTTCGGGACATGGAAGAGGAAACCAGTCGATGTTTCTGTTGCATTTAATGTTTCTCTCCCTCTCTTTCTCCTTCACTCCTCTCTCTCTCAAAATAAATAAATAAAGTCTTCAACAACAAGAAAGTGCATGGGTGCAGGAGGATGAGGATGGGTGGTGGGACACCGGCTCAGAGGCTGGAGTGGTAGGTAGGCTGGAATGTACTCTTGGGCGAGGCCCCGGCCTCAGTCTGGGAGGAAGGTGGGTGGAGTGGAGATGTGCTCAGAGAGAGATCCCTGCTGCTAGATCCTCAGGGAGGAGGGAGGAGAACAGAGGCCTCCAGCTGAGTTCTTCCTTGAGGAAAACAAGCTAGAATCATTTAAGATCCTTTTTGGTCTCAAGCCACTAAAACTGTCTTGAGCAATAAAGGGGATTAATGGGCTTATGATTTGGTTACTATGACTAGTGAAGAGCTCACCCCAAAATGTGGTGACCTACAATAACAGTGACCACTTATTCTCTCTGATGATGTCAGTGAGTCACCTCACTCAGGGTGTTTCCCAAGGGTGCCAGCAGAAGGTGGCTGAGGCTGGGATCACCTGGACAGCGTCCCGACTCATGTGTCTGATCCCTGGGCTCGGTCTGGGGAGACTGCTGGCGCTGGATCTGCTGGGCCCCTCGGGCATCTCTCCCAGTTTCTATGAAATCCCTCCACTCAGGCTTTCCAGCGTAGTAACTCCAGGCTATCAAAATTCCTACTTGTCAGTCAGGGCTCCTGAGACACATGTCCTGAAAGGGACAGCCAGCTGGAAGCTGTTTGCCTTTTGTGACCCAGCCCCAGAGGTCACGCCGTGTCACCTCTGTTGTACTGTACAGGTCGAGGCAGTCACAAAGTCCCATTCCCAGTTGTCTGTGTGGGAGTGTAGATGTTCCACTGTAAGAGGAGCATGTGGAATGGGAGAAAAGTCAGTCCAGCTATCTTTGGGCAGTACAAGCAGCCGTAGCTCAGCATGGGAGGTCCAGCAGTAGGCTGGCCTTCAGGGTCATCTGGATCCAGCAGCCCAGGAATGTCCTTGGTGTCTTTCCACAGTATCAGCATCCTCTCAGGCTGGCTTCCTGCTCGCTGGCAGAATGGCTGCAGCAGGTCCAGACACCCCTCTGCACACTCTGGAAGGAAGGACTGGGCTGGCTCTTCCACGGGCTTTCTCAAGAGAGCCAGGCTATTTCTTCCCCAGAATTTTCTGAGCTCTCCCCTTGCTTCTCATTGGTCTCTGTTGAGTATTATGTCCATTCCTTACCTCATCCCTGTGGCAGGGAAATGCCACATGCTCATTGGGATACCTGGACCTGTCACCATGACAGGGGGAGGGATAGAACACATGGCACACCAGGGAGAGACAGGGGGACACCCACACTGTCAGCTAGGGAGAAGAAGGCAGCACCGTCACTGGAAGGGGAGTCAGGAGAGAGGTTATGGGTTCCCATTTGGGACGTGTGGAGTTAGAGGAGTGAGTGGAGACAAAGTCTGCTATTCAGAAAAGGATCTGGATTGGAACCAAAACTTAGGTCATGGGAATAGAGGAGACACCACAGGGGTGCAGAGGGGACAACAGAGGACCCAGACTGAAGGCCAGGAAGGCTGTGTTTAGAGGTCAGGCCCCGGAGGAGGAGGAGTGGTCGGAATGAGGGGAAACCAGGAAATGCGGGATTGTGGACACCGAGGAGAAGGCTTCACAGAACAGGGAGTGGCCATCTGTGTTGGATTTTGCCAAAAGGGTACAAGTGTCCACAGGGTTTGTGACATGGAGGCCGTCGGTCATTGTGGCAAGAGCCGTTTTGGAGGAGAGAGAAGTGGAAAAGGCCATGTTCCCATTCAGGGATTTTGGGTGTAAATTTTCCTCTCTGCCTGAGTTTTCTCGTTTCAGAAAGGATTTCTGTGCACTAATAGCACATAAACTAGTGTGCAAAAAAAATGAAGACAAAGAATTCAAAACAAAGCAAAATGGTAGAGACAGAAAGTAGATTAGTGGTTGCCAGGGCATGGGGAGAAGGGGCGGGAGGAGTGTCTGCTAATGGGCACAGGATTTCTCTCTGCAGTGATGAAAATGTTCTGGAATTAGATTGTAGAGATATTTTCACAACCTCGTGAGTATATTAAAAAACCACTGGATTGTACTCTTCAAAATGGTCGATTTTATGGTATGAGAATTACATCTCAGTCAGTTCGTAGGCTGAGGCAATGGCACGGACCCAGGGGTGATGTGAAGATGCAGAAATCCTGTACGTGCTAGGGGCAGGGCACTCGGCAGGCTCCGTGTTTCCTAGGCATCAGAGCAAAACGTAGAATGAGGCAGGTTTTACCATTCCCAGTGTCCATGAGGCAACCATGAGTTTATTGCATGAAAGAGCTCAGCTGTTCTTTCTAGTGCAAGACGTGGAGATTTCGGCAGCATTTCTTCATAAAGGGGCGTGCTGTGATGCTGAGGATGATGCTCTCAACCAGCCCCTAAGGGGGTCGCAGTGAGCTCAGCCCTCCGGCCAGGTGGGTCTCCTGTGCTGGGCTCCGTCTCAGTCCCAGGGCACCAAGAACGTTCCATTCGGCCTCACAGCACCCAGGGCTGTGCACCGATCCTTGGTTCTGTGGGCAGGAGCCTCGGGAAGGCCAGCCGGGCAGTGCCTCTCGGGTGGCCACTGACAGCAGGCACGAGGCCTCATCTGAGAGTGGGGTGGCAGTGGCCACCGCCCCCCAGGACTGCCACCAGGCCAGCTGTGAGAGAAGTACAGCCACTGGGATGGGCGTGCCACAGCCCTGCACAGAGGCTTGGCGGCAGGAATGAGACCCGTGCCCCTCTGTGGAAAGGGGAGCCTGAGGTGTGAGGTGCTCCTTGCCTGGGCTCCAGCTGCCTTCCTTGTACCCAAATGCAGTCCACCCTCTCAGGCCAGGCCAGTCCCGAACCGGAGTGAGGCAGAACCCTGGGGCTGATGGAGGGTCCGGCACTGTGGGAAGGGCCAGCTGTGCCCATAAGGTAGCGTCCTTAAGATGGGCTTTCAGATTCTCAGACTAGGATGCTAAGAAGCATTAGGCACTGTCCTCTCTCCAGTAGCCTTGGCCACACGTCCCCTGCTGACTCCTCAGCCCAGCCCCGCAGACTCACGCACCTGACCCCCTAGGGTCCCTGCACGACACACCCTCTAATTCCCCCCACACTGGTTGAGCCTTTCCTTGGTACTACACAGCAGGTTTCTCTTTCACACCTGTGCACAGAGCACCTGGCACACCTCCGAGTCCACATACCAGCCCTGCCTCTGGCTCCTAATGACAGTTCCTCTGCATCATCCACAGGGGAAGCCTTGGGCATCAAGTACCCCGTCCAGGTCCCCTACAAACACATCAAGAGTAACCCCGGCTCAGTAATCATTGAGGGGCTACCCCCAGGCATTCCATTCCAAAAACCCTGTACCTTTGGCTCCCAAAACCTGGAGAGAATCCTCGCAGTGGCTGACAAGATCAAGTTCACAGTCACCAGGTACTCGGGGGGAGAGGAAAGGTGGGGAGGCAAGACTAGCATGGGTGGCAGCCTGCACCAGGGGACCCTTGGCCTTTCCTCCAGTCGGTCCTGTCCTCCCTGCAGGACAATGCAGCTGTCCCAGTGCCACCCTGGGTCCTGGGGGTTGGAGGGAGGACTGCAGGCCATTCGAGGTGCAGAAGGCCCCACAGAGGTGAGACCAGCCCCCACACCACAGCACCATAGCAGGGTGGCTTCGTGGGCACCTTCTGCCTGCCCACAGCACCTGCGCACTGCACTCCTGGCACCCTGGGAAAGGCGTTAGGCCCACTTCAGAGGGGAGGAAATGAAGACCAGTTATTTGCCCAAGGTCACAGAGCCGGCCAGGGCAGAGCCAGCAGGAGACAGTCTGGTCACCCTCTTCCTGCACAATGTCCCCTGCACACAGGCCACCAGCCATCTCGTTACAGTGGCGGATTCTGAGGCATTAGGTCTTGGATGTGCTCCAAACATTTCTGATGAGCTCCCAGGCCCTCCTCTGACAATCCCTCTCTGTTTCTCTTCCAGGCCTTTCCAGGGACTCATCCCAAAGCCTGGTAAGAGGCAGCGGCTGGGGGGAGGGGTGCTGCTTGGAACGGGGGCCGGCCATGGTGCTGGGGGCCAGACTGCCCATGGGACACAGGCTGCTGGTCCCTGGAGCAGGAGGCAGGCCGCAGCCCTTCTGTTCTCCCCCTCACCTGGGCACCACCCCAGGAGGCAGGAGGAAGGCCAGGCTGGAACCTGGGCCAGAGAAAGGGGTGGGGGCGGCACCCGTGACTGCTCAGCTTCACCAGCCAGAGTTCTGGAGGGAGGGGACGCATCTGTGCCCACTCTCCCGATGAAGGGGCCTGGCTGCCTTTGCTGAGCAGATGAGGTTGTTGGCGGGTCGGTTTTTAACCTTGTTGAAAGGTCTGCATGAGGACCCGAGGGCATAGCCGTAGATGTAAGGGGTGCCCACCCAGTCTTAGTTGGTCAAATGCTTCTCCTACCCCCTTTCGAGGCATCCATCCCCCTCCATCGCCTCCATGGCCCGTGTCCTGGCCCTCCCACACCATGAGTGGGGCGACAGAGCCACCTGGTGAGCAATAGGGCCGGCCAGGGCCTGCGATGGAGAGACAGGGAGCCCTGGCGTCTCGCCCCTGCCCCATGCCCACGCCAGACACCACTGCGGTGTGAAAATTACCCGGCCTGCGTCCTTGGGGAGGCTGCGCCGATGAGCTGGGAACGGGTGGGACGTCACAACATGCCCAGATGGGAGGAAGCCCTCAGCACAGGATCTGATTCCACGGTCCCGGAGACATTGCACGTCACCCCAGCCCCCTGCTCCCTGGAGCTGTTCACTCCCTGTGCCTAGGCCCGGCTTGGCGGCCTTCTGGGGAAGGGTCAAGAGGGCATTGAACGGGGGGCGGGCAAGGCTTCCTGAAGGGTGTAGTGATGTGGTAGCTGATGTCGGGCCTCAGGGGAAGTCCAGACTTGGGGAGGGGAGGAGAGGAGGGTGTTTGGTGGGTAAGCAGCAGGGATCCAAGGCCCACCTCAGTGATGTTTTCCCAGAGCTCTCAGTTGTGGAGTCGATGGGATAATGCCTGCAAGGTGGAGATGGTGGAAGGAGCAACAATATGCATCTGTGGTGGCCCTTGGCTAAAAATTATTGGGTGTCAGACCTGCTGCGTGTGGGTTCATTTTGCAGATGTTTCTGAGGCCCGCCTAAGGCCAGCAGTGTTGTAGACACTAGGGTTACAACATTGAGCACAGAGGAGGCATCGCGTTTGCTCCTCGGACCTGGGAGACAGGCTTGAGAGCCCAACACACTCAGGGAAACAGGCTCGGGGTTTCAGTGATGTGCAGTGTGCCCACGTCACACAGCTAGCAGGTGGCCTTAAGGTGGAACCGGGGGGCCCCTGACTCAGCCAACCACAGTATAAGTGAGCGTTTCCCCAAGAAGCTGAGGACACCGCAGGCCTCTGGCCTTGCACAGCTCCCTTCTCGTTGGCCCAGGGAACCAGAACACACCTGCCCTGGTACCACCAGCCCCTGCCCCAGGCTGCTGGGCCCTCTGTAGACCTGTCTTGCCCCAGGACCAGTGGTTGGCAGCGTGTGGTTCACCCACCTGGCTCCAGACAGGTAGACATCAGTGCTGGTGCCACTGAGTCAGCTTCCTGCCCCTGCCTGTGCCGACCTGGGTTTCAGCCTAAGTTGGTGTCGGTGCCCAGCCAGCTCTGTTGATGACAAATAGAAACGCAGTGAGGCAGCCCCTCGGCTCCCCCTGTGCTCCCCAGTGCCTTCTCCCTGGATGCAAAGGTCCTCTTGGAAGACTGAAAAGGGTATGGACATTTTGAATGAGTTTGGAAAGCAGCAAAGTGAAAATCATCTATGACACCTGATGTGTGCCGGGCTATAAGTTCAGTGCTTTCACTGTCACCTTTTCCTGTCCCATTTTTATGGGGTCAGGAACATCAGTGACTTGCCTGAGATGCGCCCCCTGTAGTGAAGGAACTGTGGGCTCCAAAGCCTGGCTCCCCACGTTCTGTCAGGGATGCCCATGGATTACGGGCAGGTGGTATGGAGTGTCAGCCTCCAGAGAGAAACACTGGGGTCCTGGCTGGTGTGGCTCAGTGGATTGAGCGCTGGCCTGCAAATCAAAAGGTTGCAGGCTCAATTCCCAGTCAGGGCACATGCCTGAGTTTCAGGCCAGGTCCCCAGTTGAGGGCGGGTGAGAGACAACTCTCTCTCTCACACATCCACGTTTCTCTCCCTCTCTTATTCCCCTCCCTTCCTCTCTAAAAACAAATAAATAAAAATCTTTTAGAAAGAGAGAAACACTTGGAGTCAAGGGTCAGCCAGCAGGCTTCACACAGACCGTAGAGTTCCTGGGTCCTTCTGAGGCTGACCTCTTTCACTGAGCAAGGCTTACCCTCCAGCTAAGAAAGCTCGGCAGCTCATTTTGCCATTTAAACAGCTTCATGAATCTCAGCCATCACCCCACAGTCTCTCTGCCAGTCTGCCTGCCCACCCACCCACCTGCCCATTGGCTTTCCATTAACCTCCTCTGTGTACAGAGACAGGCCTTGGAAATGCTTTCTCTTCCCTGCGTGGTGTGTGAGAGGATGGTAGGCTGCCTGGAAGAGGAGGTGGGAAAGTGGCCCTGGCCCCAGCCCTTGGGGATGCAACTGCCAGCACCTTTCCAGGCATTGGCACCCATACCAGCTGGCAGCCTGGAAGGGCCAAGCAGACTGGCTTGCAGGCCAGCTCCAGGCCTACTCACGCCACTCGTCATGCTGGGCTGGGAAGGTGTCCAGGCTCACAGGAGCCTCCGAGGGTTCACTAGAGGTCACTGAGTGCTGTTCCTGCCCCAGAAAGGGCTGTTCCAGAACTTCCATGAGAAAATCACTGAAGCCTGATACTGGCCAGCATCTGGGGGTGATGCTGGAACAGGAGCTCAGGTGTCGGGGGTGGGTGGAATGTTAGCAGGTGCCCTGGGCACCTGGAGGATAGCCAGTGATCTCTGGGCAGCGTGCAGGACTGTGGGAAGGCACAGGCTGGTGCTCAGAGAGACCCAGTTCAAATCCCTGCATCCCCTTTACTAGCCATGTGCCTGGGTTCACTATTTCACATCCTTGAGCCTGCACTTCCTCATCTGTAAGGTGGAGATGGGCATACCTGCTTCCCCAGGTGATCTGCATTGGACACATGGTGGGCCCTGGTGGGAAAGCTCCAGAGGACAGTTTCACTCTGCTGCCCTGGGTGGCTTTGTCCTGACACTTGAGTGAGATATTTGTAAAACCTTCAACCCTGGACCACCTGTGGAAGGTGCTCAGCCAATGGGATAGTGGTGACTGTTATTCATGGGGGCTCTGGAAGACTCCCTGGAGGAGGTGACATTGAACTGGGCCTTGGAGGTGCAGAACAGAATGTGGTGCAGGCACAGGGTACAGAAGTGTTTGGGGGGACATGGCTGGGGGCACCAGCAGGAGGGGTGGAGCCCATGCGGCCAGGAGGGCATTGTGATGGTGACAAAGAGGCAGTCCTTTCCCGGCACACTGGGGACTTTGAGACTTTTTCCTTTCTTTTTCATTCTCCTCTAAAAATATGGAGTGGGCTTTAGTCTGCTGGCTCAGAAGTGTAAGACATGAACTTTTGTTTCAGTCTTCCACAATGGAACTAGATTTCTGCCTGCATTACATAGTAGCAGAAACTTAATCTGAGTCCATTGAGGATCCCCTTTTCCCTGGACTTGTGTCCAAGTGCCACAGGGTTTCATAGTGCCAAAAGGTTATGGGGAGGGGTCCCATCGGGTGAATCATAAAGGAGGCTGTGCTTTGAAGGTACCAGTAACTCGGTTGTTAAATCTGGGGCTTTCACAGTGCAGCCTGGAATGGTGGGCTGGCCCAGAGTGGGACGAGGGTACAGCCATTCCTGGGCCACTTTTGCTCTGAGTCCAAAGAGATGAAGGTAGAAGGCTTTTAGTGTTGTCCCAACTGGGTACACATCTGCTCTCGGGCCTCAGTTTCCCCACTGGTGTCTGGTAGCCTTTCCAGCTCATGCCAGGTGGAGGCAGGCGCCTAGCTAGAGAGGAAGACAGGCTTGGATGAGCCTTGGAGGACTGTGGGAGGGATTTCAGGCCTCCAGTTGGGGGAACTGTGGGCCAGGGGCTTCACAGGATCCCTGGGGGATGGGTGTTCAGGCTGGAGGAGCCTGGGAATGGTAGGGCCAGGCCCCCCACATGTACTAGAGTGAGCTCCAGCCCCAGCTTCAAGGGGCCAAGGTAACCCAGGCCTGACCCAGGGGTCCGAGCCATTGAGGCCTGCAGAAGTGCACAGCATTTGGCAGCTCCTTGACACCTAGCTGGGCCGTCCCCTGCTCGCCCTCCTGCCTGCAGTAGCACTGAGGTAACGGTGGGAGACTGGGCCAGGGGCCAGACAGGTGGCTAGCTGGGGCCAGCAGTGGACGTCTCTGCTGTCCAACCACAGGTGCCCACCCGGCTGTCAGGAACCAACAGGCCCCTGGAAGCAGGTGCACAGAGCACGGCTCTGGAAGGGGCTCTGGGTGAGAGTGGCAGCACCCTCTGCGCCCAGGTCAGGGTGGCCTCTCCCCAGGCCCAGCGGGGCCCGGTGCCTCAAAAACCTGGGACAGCGAAGGAGGCTGTTCAGGATGTGTTGGGAAGAACAGGGATTACTAAGGGAGGAGCAGCCTCTGTCCAGGTAGCAGGTGTAGTAATAACCACAGAACATTCTAGTAGGTCATAAAAAGCTAAAGGGAATCACAACTACATGCCCATGGTGACAGTTTTGAAACAACAGAAATCGAACTTCCCAGATAGCTGTTCATTTTTGTGGTGATACGTTCCCTCCAGATTTTTCCAGAGGCTTATTAATTCTACATTTTATTGTTGTTCTTTCTATAAAATTTACATACAGCCCTGGCTGGTGTGGCTCAGTGGATTGAGTGCCAGCCTGCAAACCAGGGGATCTCCAGTTGGATTCCCAGTCAGAGCAAAGCCTGGGTTGCAGGCTGGTCCCCAGTAGGGGGCGTGTGAGAGGCAACCACACACTGATGTTTC